TCACACCCTAAAATCTTCAAGCTACTGAATTCAAGCAAAATTGAGTGCTCTCTACTGTCCATAGGCTGTGGTTCATTTGAATAATCCTTTGTGTGAATTGGGTAATTCATGCAAGCCACTCAATAATAGTATCATCGTCTCCTCCGAGAATTCTATTGCATTACATTACTCAAAACTGTTCAGTCTCCCACATTTCCATTGGCTCGCAGGTACACACACACATCACTCAGTGTTATTCTACTCAGATATGTATTGAGCAATGCACACAGAAAATTCTCGTTCTGTTGCAGCGATGCAGTTCTTTCTGGTAACAAGTAATGTTACAGACAATACGGCATATTCAAAGCCAAAAGAAAAGTTATTCAAGAATAATCATTCTGTATGATGAAACAAATGGGGGCCACGAACGTACAAGAAAAACGAAACTGCTATATATTGAGCCATTTTATCATCAACATCAATGACAGGTCTGATTGTAGCACAATAAACATCAACATCGGCTAGTAAAAACTTTAAGATAAAAGAAACCAATAATGTTCAGAGCTATAAATAAAGAATTCGTCTTTTAAATTAGAATGACGGATCTGGTGCAGGTTCTCTTTGGTTTCATGTACACTATGAACGTGAAAATCTAAGCTTATGTAAGTATTAATCGAATTTTAATAAGTGTATGTATATCGAATGCCGGTCACGGTAGCCGAGCGGTATAAGGCATGTACTGTCTTCGCTCGCTCGGAAGCCGGAATCGTGGGTTCGAATCCCACTCAGGGCATGGATGTTTGTGTGCGTTTTTCTGTGTTTGTCTCCAGGTAGAGGCCTTGCGACGAGCTGATCACCCGCCCAAGGGGTCCTACCTTATGTGTAAGATCTAGAAATACCGAAGTGAACGGAGTTCATGGAGGTAGGCTTAGGCCCACTGGGGCTGTAGTGCCAAGGGGAAATGTATATCGAATAAATACGAGGGTAAGTCATGAAGTAAGTTACAAATGGATATAGAACTTAAACAAATAAGAGTACTAATTTGAAAAAAAAAATGCTTTTATTTCTCAACATAATCTCCCTGTACATTGAGGCACTTGTCCCATCGCTCCACAAGCCCCTGAAAACCAGCAGCATAAAATTCTTTGGCCTTCTGTCAGAACCAGGCGTGTTCACACGGCATGGCCTACCTCATAATGCATGACAGGTTAGGTTGTCACAAAGTCTGTGCACGATGGGTGCCGCGAAAGCTGACCCCACAACACAAAATGCAAAAATGGGTCTGGCATTACAGCATCTCAATCGCTACCACGATGAAGGACACGATATGCTAGCCCGAATTGTCACAGCTGATGAGTCCTGGGTTCACCATTACCAGCCCGAGACAAAGCATGCATCAATGCAGTGGAAACATCCTGCGTTGCCTACCAAAAGAAAGTTTAAGGTGACACCATCCTCCAGGAAAGTGATGCTCACAATCTTCTGGGATCACGAAGGCATACTGCTCACCGCATTCCAGCCTCTAGGACAAACCGTAAATGCCGACTCCTACTGTAACATCCTCAGGAAACTTCGTAAGGCCATTCCACGGAAACATGCAACCTGTCATGCATTATGAGGTAGGCCGTGCCGTGTGAACTCGCCTGGTTCTGACAGCAGCCCAAAGAATTTTATGCTGCTGGTTTTCAGGGGCATGTGAAACAATGGGACAAGTGCCTCAATGTACAGGGAGATTATGTTGAGAAATAAAAGCATTTTTCAAGTCAGTACTCTCATTTGTTTAAGTTCTATATCCATTTGTAACTTACATATTGACTTACCTACGTATATCCCATGAAAACTTCTCTGTTGAGATGCATTCAATTGCTCTGCATACGCAAACTGATCTTAGATAATAAAATGTGAATGAGACCACAATGGAATTCTGCAACTAATTGCAAATATTACATCCATCATGCTATATTTTATACGAATTTATATTTATTTCTGAGAAAAAGTGGCTGGTGTGAAGCTGAAATGCAAGTAACTTTCGAGGGATGAATTTGCTTCTTGTGGCTGGTGAGGCAGTTATTTCACTCTCGTGGATTTCTTTTGAATTTGAAACCTAATAAAGAAGCGAATATACGAAATACGTATTAAGAATTCCTTACAAATATTTTAAAGGAATTATTATCCTGCCTTCAATAATCTGGCGTGATAAAAAATCAATTAATTGACTAAACACAATTTAGTACGCACATCTTCTGGCCGCATCCCTCAAGAAAAATTCTGGAAGCTCCCATGAGGCTTCTTTTTATTAATGTTTACGTAGGCTGCGGAATAGTCCGGAGAGCTCAGTCGGCAAAACTGCGAGCTACGGAGATCGGTTTTATGCACACTTGTATTTATGTAATAAAGTTAAGTAACTTTTCCGAATAAGAAAATCTCTTCGTACCGTCAACGCCAATCCTTTTTGAAATTTGCATTTTGAAAATGACTTCATGATTATTGGCTCCTGTAGGATGCCGAAGACATCGGTAAGAGAGCTGATCTGGAAGTATAACAATAATTACAAAAATGTATTGCAACCCAGCTTATTTAGTTAAAAAATATGCCATGAAACATATGGATTCGGGGAGCTACAGGACCACATGACAAGAAATGCTTCCTCCCTTCATCTCGCTTGCATAATGTTAACGGTGCTGTATTCCATACACACGACAGGATGAACGATGGATGAGACAGAAAGTTCCCTCCAACTGAAGCAAGTAATGTTCCGAGCAATACTTGATATGGAGCGGTGTTCTTAGACAAGATTCTCGCAGTTGAATGGCTGAGTGCCTCACTTTTCCTTCATTACAATGGTGGATAAAAATTTTCATTGCAAGTTGTTCCTTGAACGGTTGCAGGGACGCAAGCGCTCCAGGAGCTGTCGGCGTGCCCCGTGCCTTCCCATTTTGCACATCCCAAAGCCCGATTTCAGTGGCATTCTGCCCAAAGTTGACTGTTGGCGAATGGACTCGGAATTTGGAGGCGAAGACGCTGAGGTGAGTGGTGCGGTGTCATGTAGCCTTCTTCAGATACAGGGAAGGAATCTGACTGGTATCGCCTATGCATGTTTCTTGCTTTTGTCTTGGAAATGTTTGATTTATATAATTCTCAACTGTCGGTCGTTTCCCAGTTCTGAGTATGTCGTGTTTACAGGAGTTAAGAATACTTCTTAAAATGCGCTGTGCGCGTAAGGCTGACAACCTTACCGCCATCTTTGAGCCGACTGTCAAGGTAATGTGGGACCCTTAACGTCTCGCAACCCTATGGACCTTCACGGCCTGTTACTGGGATAGCTTTACTTTTACTTACTTTATATTTCTGTTTTGGTTTCCCTTAATGCCAATTTCTGTTTAAGTTCTGAGCCTATCAGTTAATATCACTGTCACGCCTTGCAAACTTGATTTTACAGAATTCACACATACTTCTGTGTTATCTACTTTTTCTGTGAAGTTGTGGTTGATATGAATATGTGTGTGTGTGTGTGTGTGCGTGTGTGATTTTGGTACTTCATACACACCATTCACTCTTCCTTTCTAGTAATATAATTTTTTTTTGTAATGTAGAAATATTTCTGCTCATATCTTGAGTACAAGAATATATAATAGAACAGAAACCCCCATGTTTTTTTTATTGCTAGTGGGGTGAGACTAAGTCCCTTGTATTGCGGCCACTTCTGGTCTATTGTACCAGCCCCAGATGATAGGTGAGGGTGATTGTGGAGCAATTGGTGGAATAAAGATTGACAGGGGAAACCGAAGTATTCGGAGAAAACCTGCCCCTTTGTCCACCACAAATCCCACTTGACCAGACCCGGGATCGAACCCGTGCCGCCGCGGTGGGAAGCCAGCGACTAAAGGCTTGAGCTATGGCTATGCTACCATTCAGTCCAGAATATTCTTTCTTCCCGTCTATTGTCTAAAAACTTAAAAATTTAATATAGAAAACTATAATTTTGCCTGTTGTTCTGTATAGTGCCAAACTTTGTCTCTGATATTAAGGGAGGAAAGTATTTGAGAGCAGGGTGCTGAAGAGAATATATGGACCAAAGTGAGATGACGTGACAGGAGGCTGGAGAAGACTGCATAATGAGGAGCTTCATAATTTGTACTTTTCACCAAGTGTAATTAGAATGATGACGTCAAGGACAATGAGATGGATAGGACATGTAGCACGAATGTGGAGAAGAGGAATGCATATAGGATATTGGTGGGAAAGACAGAAGTAAAGGAACCAATATTAACACCAATACGTAGGTGTCGGATTTCGAGTGCCAGTGGGGGCAAGAATTTTCCTTCCTCCATGTTGTCCAGGCTGGCTCTGGGTCTACACAAACTCTTATCCAATGGGTAGCCGGGGTGCACTTTCCCCAGAGGTAACGCGGCAGGAGCGTGAAGCTGACCACTCATCTCCAACTAGTGCCGAGGTCAGGATAATGTGGATCTATGCATCGACTCCCCCATACGCATTCACGGAGTAGTTCTTAATTAGATAAGCGCAGGGACAACTTTACATGAGCAAAACGATATTTACATTAAAAAAGAAGTCTTGGAACCATGGTGGGTGCGAAACATCGACGTTCTTGCACAGATCTATTTAGGAGGTTAAAGAGATCCGACTTCTACTGTGCGAATATTCCATTAATAAAATTCATTATTAATATTCAAAGATGTTATCAGACTGTTTCAGCTGTTCGGGGCGCTAACACAAGGATCACGCTCCACCTTCTGAGACCAATGGTAACACCTAGACCCCACCTCCTTCTCATACGTATGCTATTAGAGTAGACGCCAGTTGCTGTATAGGCGTTCGAAATATTTCGTCGTCAGTCTGTTAGGAGGACTCCGTTGAAAACGCTCTGTTATCCTATACCGGTGTTCTGTACATTTTCACGCAAACGATGAACACTGTTCAATATACAGGTAGCTTACTGTGCAAATGTAGCTGATAACTGATTTAAAATGTGTTTTTTTTTTCAGGTTCCTGTTCCGGATGACAAATTACCAACAAGGAATGAGGAGGACACTTCCCTTAATCGAATGCCCCAGAGTCAAGGGAAAGGTAAGTAATTTGCTAAGATAATGATATATTGCTAACAATACTTACGTTAGAATAGTAAATTTCATTTGTTGAGAAATCAATAAATACATCGATTTCCAGGAACTGTTCTTCGCAACCTTTCTTTCACTACATTTTAAATGTTTCTTCTGTCGCGAACCGCACGGAAAACACCGCGGGAATAAGTTATCCCAGCCGATGTGTAGAAAGGGCGGTCTTCTCTGGCTCCAATATTCCTGACTGTTAGGAGGGTGAGGACAGAGACTGCAATGTTATCTCATAAGTCTCCTTTTGTTTTACAAATGTAAGGAAATCAGACCAACAAGGATGAACGGGTAAAATAGATCCGAGGTAAGATGGCGCCTTCTCTAAACAGTCAGCATCATATTCACCGCGCCAGTCGCCACGGCTTAGTCGTCTTCACTAGAAATTCTGTTGCATTACATTACTCAAAACTGTTCAGTCTCCCAGGGCTTCATTGGCTCTCGAGTACACACACATCAATGACTGCTGTGCTAATCAGATATGATTTGACCAATGCACGAAGAGGATTTTCATATTGGTGTAATATTGCAGTAGCGCCTCTGTGGTCTAGTGGTCAGAGTTTCTGGCTACAGATCCAGAGGTTCCGGGTTCGATTCCCGGCGCTAGCAGAATTTCTGAGAAGTAGTGGTTCTGGAACGGGGCCTACTCAGCCTAGTGAGGATAATTGAAGACCCATTTCAAGTAAATGGCGGCTCCGGTCTAGGAACCCGATATTAACGGCCATGGGGATTCGTTGCGCTAACTTCGCCGACAAGCGGCGGTCGCTCAGTCGGAAGAGTTCGCTTGCGGAATACAGGCCACGGAGTTTGTTTGTAATACTGCAGTTCTTTCGGGAAAGAAATAATGTTACGGCCAATATGTCAAATTGAAAGTCCAACGACGTGGCTGATGTATATTGACAATGCAGAGAATGCAAAGGAGTTACACACAAGTGACATAAGTAGTTTTCGTGGATGTCATTTAGGCCTTGGGGCTAACAAGGCACTAATTTCCCATGGATCTTTAAAAAATGAAATCAAATAAAAAGCTTAATATACCATATATTAGGAAATCTATAGGAAGTATTCTTAAGAAATAATTATTCTGTTCTGAATTATCTAATATTATCCAAGAAAAGATAACTCTAAATTACTTAATTAGAGTGAGTACTCAAGTTTTGCTGACTTCTCCGCCTCTGCAAATTTCTGACAGCGCCCATGATGATTCTGTTCATGTATTAATATTTAACTAGGCTGCGGGAAAGTCCGGATAGCTCAGTGGGCATAACAACGGGCTGCAGACATTCGGTTTTATGTACGCCTATAATTACGTAATAAAGTCGAGTTTTCCATCAGAATGGAAAAATTTATACTGCTCTGTAAAATGTCGGACACGGTTTTAGATAAGCGGATCTAGAAATATAATAATTAAAAATACAAATCTTTTGATGCTGAGGTTATGTGATTATTATATGTGCCATGAAGAAATATTGGATAGTAGAGATATAGCTCCACGTGTCTTGACGTCGGCTCTAGTAGAAAGTGGCTGATAGATAGACGCCCGTTCTGCTTCACCCCCGCTGACAGAGTCGTCATAAGACTGTTTATAGGAGGCTGCGTATGCCCGTTTCGACGCAGTGGGGATGACACAGATTTTGCACTGACGGGTTCGAATCTTTCCGTCCAGCACTCATGCGTTCTCTACACTAGAGGTCCTAGCCTGACTCCTACTTCCAGGGAGCTCAGCACTTCCTGAGAAGTCGCCATTTTTACAGTTACTAAACAAGTTTTAAAAATATTATTGACCCAAACATTCATTTCCTCATTAGACATTTTTCTCTAGCCTCCTTTTACTTAATCCCACTTCCGTCCGAATATTCTACTCAGCAACCGGTTATTAAAGATTGTTAGTTTTGAACCTCCTTTAATGGCAGAAGCCAAATTTAACAACGATACTAAAAATCAGGAAATATTAAATTTTCGTCTATTCTAATTTATAAAATATTGAGGGCGGACGAGAAGACGTAATGTTCCAGACTGAATACTAGCAAGCGTTTGCCGGTTTCGCCCGTTACTCTTGCTCCCAGATATCTGAACTTTGCCACAGTTTGAAAGGATATGTTGGCTGACTTTACAACAAGATTCTGCCCTGAATGTTGGTGATGAGGTATCCGCATATACTCAGATTTCTCGGCTTTTTTTTTCTTCCCAACTTCCTAACTAGTGTCAATTAGACTTTCTTTGTCTTCTTTGTTGTATTTCTGTTGCCTCAAAATACATTAAATTGTCAGCATAGTTGTGTAGCTGATGTGCCTTGTTTCATTTCAGTTCCTGGATCTTCACATTGGCATAAACTGAAGCCAAATTGAAAAGCAATGGCGCTGCCACGGTCACTACTTTATTCTGGAAGTTCGTTTGAAAATGAATCTCCCAATTGCAGGGCTTAGAGAGTGAAGCGCCCTTCAGTATAGCGAGCAATGAAATATAAACACTAATAGGTGCTTTGCTCTGTTGCAGAGGCTCCGGTGAAGGAGCTCCCAGTGACAGTTACTGCGGCAAAGGTTACTGTGAGTCAGCCACTGAAGCCAGTGTCTCGGAGCGAAAAGAGAACCCAGACTCTTGAGGGCAGAGTGGAAAATCCCATCCACGTTCCCCCTTACGCTACCAATGTGACGAGGGCCATAACATCAGAGGCGGCACCGAAAATCGGCCGCGAAGACGAGAAGGTAATTATTTGGCGTTGCATGTGTCAGTGACTGAAGGAGAACGCAACGTATTTCTGAACTGAAAACTGCAACATATTTGCTTTAATTCGGTAGTATTAATGTCAATTTAAATTTAAATTTTTGAGCTTGAATATTAGCACAGAAAATATTGGAGAGAAAAACTTCCCATTTCTCATTGCAACATTATACACATAATGTTTTCATTTTCAATCCTTTTTGACAGATTCTCAACAGCCTTTATTTCCTATTGGTGCTTGTAATTTCGATTCATCTATCTGGCTAGTCTCAGGACCTCCTCACTACAGTATTCTTGGCGTCAAAATAATAATTGATTCTTAAAGCTCCGAGGAAAAAAATGCTACTTCATTAAGATTGCCTTTTTAGAATGTTTTGGTGCAATACGTCGTAGATTCTCGGGTAAGGAACGTTTTGTGCCTCATATAACTGAGTAAAAATCCGGATCCAGAGTACTATAGCAGAGAAGTTAAACGGTTAAAGGTAAAGGTGGTGAAGGTGTAAAATAAGAGAAAAAATTTGGAGAACACTACCAAGAGGAGTGAAACGTTTATCTAAGAAGTTACTGGTAGCAAAAAGGAAGGTTCAGGAGGCTTTCTTACGTTCGATCATAATAAACGAGAGTAATTGCTGGGCACAGCAAATTAAAAGGCGCAAATGAAGTAGAGAAAATTTCCCGGCGATCAAATGCTATAATGACAATCCCAACCCAGATCCAATAGAAAAGGCTAACTCCTTAAATTCTTATTGTGTGTCTGTATTCAGTTGTGAGCGAAACGATCCACAGATCTATTGAGCGGATTCAGGAAATCCCTTCAATATAAATATCACAACGAAGCGATTATCAGCAATCGGGAGACAGAAATCCGTCGGGCCAGATGGTATTGCGGGGGTGATTCTAAAGTTGGGTGTGGAAGCCATGATTCCGTACCCTGCGAGATGCTGGACATAAAAATGAACAACAGGTCTATCCCAGGGGACTGGAAAAGGGCTATAGTGGTCCCTATTTACAACGGAAAAGACCGATCAGTTTAACATCAGTGATTTGCAAACAAATGGAGCATGTTATCTAAGACGAATCGGGGAAAGGAATGAATGGCTGTACGAAGATCGACTGACGTATTATTTTGGGAATCAATTAATTATGGAGGTAAATAGTTTTAAGTACCTAGGAATAATCATACGCAGCTGTCTAAGATGTGCAAATCATGTAACTATATACTACTACTACTACGAAAGTATGGAAGGCTCTTCATTTAATAATGCGTATACTGAAACAGGGCAATAATAAAACGAAACGTCTAGCTTATACATCACTAGTGAGACGGATACTTGAATATGGTTCGGTATGTTGCGACCCAAACCGAGAATGTCAGGTTACCTCTTTAAATCGGGTACAAGGAAGAGCATTGCCGGTGTTGCCCCTTTAGATTAGACCTGTGTAATATGTAAATAAATTCTTTATGTATATAACAGTGAAAAGTGTATAATAGTGTATAGTGCATAGTGCATAATAGTCTGCCCTCCGGCACTTAAAACTTAACATCGGATGTGTGAACATCATCGAGATTAAACCGCCAACACTATGCTACACAATGAGGTAAGAAATTGTTTCCTTTTGAGAACGCCTGTACTGCATTCCCCTCCACACTTGTCAGCATGCTGGAGCTCTCCCCACCACTACCAATACTTCTCCTACTCCGCGCCGGAGGACTGTCACTTCTAAATACCCGGGCTATACTCAAATTATGTACATAAACAGAACTTTCAAAATATGCAACTTCTGTTGATGTCTGTTATTATCTTCACTATTTTCTAGTTTCATGGCAATGAACCTAAGGGTCGCCTCATCCAGACATTCCAGTATTATCACTTTGATGATATGAATTTCTGTTATGTTACAGATAAGTGGAAGTCAACATAAGAATGTGTGGGAAAAAGAACAAGTAGATCTTGAATGTGAGAGAATGAGACAAGAACTCGCCAGGAAAGAAAAAGAACTAGAACTATTCATGATTGAGAGAGAAAAAATAAGGAGACTGAGAAATACTTTCGCGGTAAGGAACATTTCAATATATAAAGTAGGTTTAGCGCTAACTTCAGGGGAACTACATACAACCTCTGATTTCTTCATACGATATATTGCTCATTGTCCTTATGACATAACCTTATCTTTAACACAGTTGACTTGAGGTGTTAATATTTGCAATTCCAGCATACAAGTCAGCATCTAAATCTATCATGATCTAATGCAGTTTCACCATATGGATCTCATACCTTCAAACGTGTTTCCTTCTTGTCTCTTTATGCAATGAACTCACTAGTGTGTCTTTCTGTCAGCATGACGGGATGGATTCAGTCCATGGATATATAAAGGTTTCGAATTCCATAGTCCAAATGGTTTTTCTGAATCATACATTTGGCCACTTCAATTCTGAGTTTAAGTAATTTCACAGTACACAATTCTCACAATAGACGAAACAGGAGTTCCGAATTATGAACGAAACATTGGGAAAATAACCTTGTTAGTATTTTCATCAGTGACAGAACTATTCTGGACAAAAGAGAATAGTCCCCATAACACCTATGGGGTACGGTGCCTCTGCCAAAAATTGCTGCAACAGGTGTACCCAATCTTGGACTTAAAAAGCAGTTTGTATTTTATTCTGAATATAACCCTTATCAGGGGAAGTGGCCAGATCATATTCAGATTAGCATCAGGCCGTGTGCATGATGCAAGTGTACTGTCACCGACATTCAGGAACCATTTTAGAAACATAAAACAGCAGAAAGATATCACTCCTCTAAGGAAAGGCATAGATAAATTGTGATTCTTGTTCTAATACTCCTTGATTATTTGCTTCCCCACATTTTGTTACAGAATAATTAGTGCAAAACCACAAAAATCTCTAATGCCTTTAGGGTGCCAGTCTTTGTACCTTGAGTTTTGTAAATGAATACTTAAAATAGCAGGGAACAGGATGCATTAGAACTTGAAGTCTCATATTTTCGAATGTCAAAACTGATCTATGAAACTAAGCAGTTACCATAGAAGACAGCCAAATTGATACTACCATAAGAGTCTCAAACCCTATATTTAACGGTGGTAACCATTTATATGGTGTGCACCTAGAAGAACACAATCTCGATACTGATTCCAATTTGAACCATAAATCTTCTGTATGATGTTATTAATTATTGCATATAAGTATGTATGTATAAAAAATGTGAAAGAAAATATTATATTGGTGGTATTACAGCCAGTAATATGACCAGATTTATCACAAAATCACAGGAATTTTTGTTGGGAGCAGCAGGAATACCAGTTCATGGAGCCCCTGTTATTATGTACAGAGACAGAGCATTAGAATAATGCAAATTCGTTAAAGTGGTTTCTGCTTTCTTGTTGCTTTTATACATCAGTTCCTTATCTATTAGTTAGATATAATTGATCACAGGATTGCTGCATGTAATTCTGCCAGTAATGTGAATTTATATAATAATATTGCAGGCTTGTAGAAGTGCACATAAGAACTTGTCGATACACATAAAACCGGATTTTGACAATAAGAACATAGAAGAAGTTCTGATGAAGGAAGACAAGACAAAGAAAGGCAGTCAATCAGAACCACTGAACACTCGGGCTAAGGTAATACATTTCAATTTATAAAGCATTTCTCACGCAAACTTTTTTTTTAACTTCAACATGTGAGCTCCATTATCCGATGCGCATGTGACTTTACTTCTGATTTAACATCTCCCTCATGTAGTGTAATGATTTACATCAGTGACGCAATTGCAAGACTTTGGGAGAAAGAACTCTATCCTCATATTTAACTAGAGGGACAGTGATGATCCATCATTTCTATTTATGTGCCCCCTAATGTTCACTGCAGACATCCAGAATTTAACATCATTATCTACCAGCTCACTTTTAATGAGCCTGAGGGCTGCCAGACAAAGTGCCATTTGAGACTGCCACCACAACCTCATTGTTAATTTCTTACAGCCAGTAATACCACCAACTTCACAGAGAGACTTGGGGTGGGACCAACACTAGTATTATTTAATGTGGGCTCCTCAAATTATGTACATAGACAGATCATTCAAAATATGCAACTTCTCTTGATGTCTCTTGTTACCTTCGCTATTTTCATCCATAGGCAATCATTCCAACGTTATATTAGGATCTTGTGACACTAGTACATCTCTGCGTATTTCTCTCATCTTCCGTTGTCTTTGGGGGTTATTTTGAAGAGGAAATTTTGTTTAGCCTTTTCTGTCCATTTTTTCACATGGTCTAACAAGCTCTTTTCAATGTTATATTTTAGCGTCCTATTGCACTGATTTATGTCCATGATTTATTCTGACCATCTTACAGTGCATACATTTATTCACCTTACTCTTCTCTCTTGCACTACATGTTTCAGCACTAAAGTGCCATCTTCAGGTGCTTTTCTGTGTACGTCGAACTACTTCATTGCATGCCCTGTTGTCTTTATACTAAAATGACTAAAATATATATTCATCATATATAATGATAAATTTTAAATATTAAAACTGTTCAGGATTTGTCATCCTTATGTCGTATCCAGATGTATTTCAGATCAATCATAAGCTTCAAGCTTCCTTCTGTACCCTCTTTGGTCATGTGCTCACACTTAAACTGCGCATGCATGATATTCTCCTTCGAAAGCATGTAGCATGCAGCAAGTAGATGGAGGGAATCCAAGGCCATGTTTCATATTTGTGCAGTGGATATTTAGATCGGATTTCATCCAGAGCCCCACTTATCTTCAGATTGTGATGAGGCAGCATCCAAGAGGTTACAGTAGATGCAGTGTGACATGCTCCCTTCCCGCTACTTGCTTGAGCTCAGTGAACAGCCATGCACATTGTGGTTAGGATTCCCTTGAGAACACATTTGGTGCCATTCGTTCATACAGCGGCTAAAACGATAACATGCTCAGGAGATTAATATCATCAATTGTTTTGGTTTCAGACTAGTGTCATGTTATCCTAACTGCGAGGAAGGTGGTACTACACTTCTTGATGACCTGCATACCTTGCTCATGGTACATGATGCCCCTACATCCAATCTTTTCACAAATCAATGCCAGGAAACCTTGATGATGTTCCCAAAATTTCCTTGTTGCTGAACAAGTACAGGAGGACTGCAGTACTTGCTGGTGACATGGCCGTATTCTCAGTAATTTATGTCAAACAGCTACTATAGGTGTGAACTGTGCTGCAAAACATGGCATGCCTGACACCTCAGTTCCAAATATCTTAATATATTTCAAGCGGTACAGTGATATAAAGCACTCTGTCTCACGTGTCCTTCGGAGAAGCTGGTAGAGACTGGTTGTACTTTTCTAACTCTACTGGAGACTACAATAACAGAGGTGGCTCACTTGTATTCAGTGGAAAAGTATGTCACAGCTGCCCTTAAGAACAGTGTTGCCTTTGACTGCTTCAGGTCTATTCTTGTTCACTTCACCAGCAATGAACATTAGATGATACTATGAGAGTTACCCAAAGAATCTCTGTTCTTTGGTGATTTAAGCGAAAAAAAAAAATGTTGCTTGGTGAAGCAGCCAGTCAGAGAAATTCAAAGAGGAAGATGAAGTTACTGGCATATCAGTAAGTCAATAAGGAAGTAATATTGTGGTCAGTATGACTTGTTATTAAATATTATATATATATTGATACATTAATGTTCATTATTTCTGTTGATATAGTTTTATTGTGCAAAAACAAGAAATATGTTAGTGATATTTGGACACTTTAATATAATTCCTTGTTCTCCATCATCATTATATCTTGCTGATGGTTCTTTTCTGTGTTGTTGAAATTAGATGATTTTGCCATGGACATTTTGGATTCGTATTATTAAATAAAAATATCTAAGATGGAAAAAATCTTCATTCAATTTTAGCCAGGGCTTACCTACCTTAAATATTTAGGAATATTAATTGCAGGTGTGTGGGGTAGGAAAGTACGAAAGTTGGGATAGTAGAAACTTTCAAATGGCTACTTTGACCCCCTCCTGGACCTCCATGTGATCAGTAACTTGACAAACATTAACCTACAGTATGCGTGACATAGACCTACTACAGAAAAAAAGTATGTCGCATTGTTACGTCAGATATCTGGAACTGCTTACTGGGATTTGGCCTATTCTGAACTTATGCTCTCCAATTAAGTGACCGCGTGGTTTGAGGCCACCGATGACAGGTTATGCCCGTGATAGATCTTCAAATGCTGAAGACACAGAAAATTGAACACATATTCAAGGATCATGGAGGAGAATCACTTTCGTTGGTACAGCGCCAGCCAATATGTAGCGAATCTTCGAGAAGATCTCTACTGATACAAGGTCTTTGAGGGATGAATGTATGGTAAGTGTCATTCCTTGGCATATTAATTATATTAAGCAATTGCTTACAATAAAACTGGCCGCGCCATAGCTCAAGCGGTTAGTCGCTGGCTTCCCACTGCGGTGGCCCGGGTTCGATCCCGGGTCTGGTCAAGTGCGATATGTGGTGGACAAAGTGGCGCTGGGGCAGGTTTTCTCCGAGGACTTCGGTTTCCTCTGCCAATCTTCATTTCACCAATTGCTCCACACTCACCCTCACCTATCATGTGGGGCTGGTACAATAGGCCAGAAGTGGCCGCAGTGCAAGGGACTTTGTCCCACCCCACTAGCAATAAAAAATCAATCACTATAGCACACGCTGTCTCAGTCTGTTATAGTCTACCCTAGTCGTTGTTCGGTTACGGTTCAAACAGTGGAGACTTTTCTGGTCTCGGGCTTAACGTCATTGCCGGATGGCTACAGTCTGTCCGGTTTAGAGCGACTAAAAAATGCTGTGTCTCGCGGTTATCTTATTGTTACGTACGTATTCGTTGCCTAGCAACTGTTCGCTTGTTTTGTGACGTAGGAGCTTGCGTATTGTGCCACTGCCTAGCAACGGGTGACGCCTTTTGTTAAACCATCCCGTCATGCCACAGTAATTTAAAATGAATGAAAACACTATATACATGCGCACAACTAACGAGATTAGTATTATTGTACTCGTATCTGAGCATCCTCCTGCATCAGTTAATCACTTGCAGCTGCACAGAATTATTGGTCGAATCGCCTCTTAGTCCGTGGTTTCATGTAAAGCGTTCACACAGTTGTGACCTCTATGAAAACACGTTCATAACACGAAAATATTCTCGTCTTTATGGCGGAGAGTTTTACACATCATGGCGTGTCGACACGTCACTGAGTCGAATTTAAAAATGAATGGGTTCGGAAACAAANTTTAGAGCGACTAAAAAATGCTGTGTCTCGCGGTTATCTTATTGTTACGTACGTATTCGTTGCCTAGCAACTGTTCGCTTGTTTTGTGACGTAGGAGCTTGCGTATTGTGCCACTGCCTAGCAACGGGTGACGCCTTTTGTTAAACCATCCCGTCATGCCACAGTAATTTAAAATGAATGAAAACACTATATACATGCGCACAACTAACGAGATTAGTATTATTGTACTCGTATCTGAGCATCCTCCTGCATCAGTTAATCACTTGCAGCTGCACAGAATTATTGGTCGAATCGCCTCTTAGTCCGTGGTTTCATGTAAAGCGTTCACACAGTTGTGACCTCTATGAAAACACGTTCATAACACGAAAATATTCTCGTCTTTATGGCGGACAGTTTTACACATCATGGCGTGTCGACACGTCACTGAGTCGAATTTAAAAATGAATGGGTTCGGAAACAAAATGTTTTGTTATTACTCACAGCTTTGTTTAGCCACGAAAGTTCCTGACATCGAAATGTGCAACGTATGGTACCTTGAACGACAAGCATAAGCTTTGTGCTCATTTTGATTCAATCTGATGTGAAGGAAACCCAAAACATTTTATTTATATATGAGCATGTACTGCGATCGGAAATATTTTGCTGGCAGAAGCACTTCTGTTTGTCCAAGTCCTCGTTGGGACGGCTATAAAGTAAGATTCATTTACAACTAACAGTAGTCTGCTATGAGCTACATGCAGATGGTGTGCTATGTACCAGTCTAATTTCCTGCTTTCGTCTAGGCTGAAGTAAACAGCATGATTTAAATCATCAGAAAGGTTCTATATTTGCTTTCCTTAAATATGCTACCCAGCCATCAATATTATGGGGCACGCGGTAGCATAGTTGGTTGAGGGACTATGCTACAAGCTGGAATGTCGCGGGTTGAAGTCCCGATGAGGCCATTGGATTTTTTTCAATTCATCTAACCCTTCCAGCCGCACTATGGCCCTGGGGTTCACTCAGCCTCTAACAGAAACGAGTACCAGGAATTAATTAAATAATTTTCCTGGGGAGTAACGCGCGGCCGGCGCTTAAGGCTGACAACCTTACCGCCATCTTTGAGCCGATTGTCTAGATAATGTGGGACCTTCAACGTCTCACAACCCTATGGGCCTTCACGGCCTGGTACAGGGATAGCTTCACTTTACTTTACTTTCACCATCATTTCAATGATGAAGAAAGACCGGTAACAAATTTTGAAAACAATGCGCTACTGAAACAATTGGTAATTTCATCAAAGGAAGCAATTTGTTTATAATCAACTACATAATAACATATTCCAGCATCCTGTTGCATTGAAATATCAATCGTTTCCGTCCCTAATACAACCCAAAGTATTCACAATCTCTCCTATATTTTAAAATGCCATTAGAATCACATTCAGTTGCATTATGTTTCGGCCTTGCAAGACTATCTGCAGGCAACTGGTCAGGCCGCCCTGCGCCAGTCCGCATGTCAATGCACCCCATGCTATTGCGTATCGTCCTTCGCACTAAAATGTGTTTGTTTGAGAATGAATGTTCTCTGTTCGCTCCCAGTTATTTTAATTTTGCGGAGTCCATGTTGGGCCCCCGTTCGTGTGTCCATTCTAGTGCTTGAAGATGGCCTTGTAAGGCCGAAACATTTCGCAATTGAATATGATTTTAGTTACTTTCAAAAATAATTTTATCTCGTTGCTCACTTCAGCATGAACTGACTTCACAGTGAGTTGAGAGTGGTGTAGAATGGCGTGTGAAAGTGAAACTTACACAGTTACAGAACATGTCGATATCTAGGCAACGGTCTGTAAACACCCGAATAATATACGCACACAACAATAGTGGAACAGTTGAAAGCGGTGTTTTCTATTGGGTCTGTCCAGAATAGACGACCAATGGGACCACAACAAATGTAACTGTCGGTAACCAATCACGTAAAATGGGTTAATACATTGTTGTATGTGACAGATACGTAATTTATATAAACTGGCAGCAAGGTTCTGGCATTGCCGGAGTTATGTTAGCAATCTCAGCTTTGTTAGAACACGCCACATTATAACGGTAATCTCACACAAATATTCGTTCTGTGCGCCATATAATTACGGCAGACACTTGAGATCCCTGAAGGAATGATACTGGAAGTCACGTTATTGAAGGCAGTGATACCTTACCCACTAAATCTATGTTAATTCGTTTTTATGATGCTTACAGTAACTAAATTTGTAGATATCTGCAACATTAATTTTTTTCATGTCATTTGTCGGGTTTTATTACGAAATGGATATGAAGACAGTATTTCCCCACTTACATGTATGTATATATGCGAACTTACGAACCAAATCCTCCAAACCGTTAACCGTACGTAACATTACAGCACGACAATTGCAAAAGCATCACAGTTTTCCGGAAATACAAATGGAAGTGATTTTGTTGCAGACAGTGAAAGATTGCCCCTGAAAATGTATATTAATATTTATTATGCTTAAAAACTAATTTTTATACATAAATAATTTGTGTTCGTACGTACTCGTAGTTTCATTTTGATACGAACACAACACAAATAAAAAATGTGATCTGAAGTTTGTAGCGATAGTTTATTCATACAATTATTCAGTCTTTGGATATTGTCCATGGTCCTCTTTTGTAATTAGAAACGGCACTTCGGCAACTGGACTGTCTCCATCCTCATGTAAAAGGCAAGAATAACAGGAATTTCTGTGAAGAACTAATGGCCTTCTTTCCACTCACTTATCTGAGTATCCGACACGATAAGCGGAAAGAAAACTTAGGTTGTATGCATAATGAAGTCAGTACCGACAATACAGTTCGGGAGGCTGCGATGTTTGTGTTACTGATGAGAGTGATTTATGCAGTACAACGTTGAAATGGTCTCAGATGGCATGGTATAAGTACCAAGTTTCATGAAGATCTGTTCCAGTACTCAGGTAATATTAAGTGTAGTACCTCGACAGCCTGAGAGTCTGGAGTGTTGGTATTACTAATGGGAAGTGTTTATGATGTATTCCGTTAAAATGGGCTCAGATGGCATGATATACTTACCGACTTCCATGGCGATCGTTTCAGGTTCTTAAGTAACTTTACGGTTACTACGGCAACAGTTCAGATGCTATAATGTTGGTATTACTTATCTAAGGGAATTAGGGATTGTGCTATTGAGATGGTTTAATGCGGTATGATATACATACCTTGTTTCATGAAATTTGACGCATGAGTTAAAGAAATTTCAGATCAGTTTCCATGATAGTTTCATAAAGATTGATTCAGGCATTCATAAGTTAATAGGGAATACACGTACAGACACACAGACAGCTAGGTAATCTTGTAAGCCTGCTTTTATTTCTTCACATAAACAAAACTAAATAAATAAATAAATAAATATGTATATACAACAGAAGGCCTAAGCCATGTCATTCGGCCCTCTGTAGCACAGTCTCATAAACATCTTAGGGTGGGGGCACACCAAAAAAACTGGAAACCGCAATTTCAGGGAATTATCAGCCCGAGTTGAACAGGTGTTACTGAATGGGGCAGCGCAAATTGAGGAACCGGCAAAACAACTGAGAAACCCAACTTCCACGCAACGGAGCATGTCAGTCTTCTCACACTTGCTTTGACGGGTGGTTTCGTAATGTCAGATATTCCATAACGCGCTTCAGTGATTCATTTGTGTAACCTTGTCGTTACAGTATGCTTTTTATTGACTATGCAGCAAAGTATAACACCACGAAAACGGGACCGAATGTAGTAACATTCTACAAACTGTAAGTATTCAGACATGCTATAATGATGAAAGCAATACTTGCAATTCTTGTAGCATCTCACTAAAGCACGTAAAATCCTTATATATTTTCAGGTAGTTGTCAATAAAGGAGCTGGGGTAGCGTAGTCGGTATAGCGATTGGCTACAATATATACACTGTATACACGCTATATTATGTATATTATACATTGGAATAGCTAAGAATAGCCTTGTAAATAAGTGTATATACTGACAGTGGACTTAATACTACAGACTATGACTGACAAATGACACAAATGACAGACCCGACCTCTCGTCAGAGAGGACGCCCCCACAGGGACAGGACAGTAACTTTTATATAAGAAGAGAGATCTGGTCATGACCCCAGCCGGGGCTCTACACCAGGACGGACAGACTGACCGACCGTCAGTTGCACTGTAACTTTGACTTGCCACCATCAGTTTTCATCAGTCGACGTTTCACTGCAAGAGACCAACACACCGAACACAGCTCAAACTCTCCTGTAAACAGTCTCTATCGCGCCCTATCGTACTACCGACGCTATCCAGTTACGTGGTTCTCTCCGCGCGTACGACGTCCCACAGTGGTGTGCACAGTGAAAGACATGTCATCGGTGTTATTCTAGCAGTCATATTTAATGACACTATGTAAAATATGCTACAGTGATGCGTAGACTGTGTGGTGCAACTTATACAATGATGGCTAGGTTTTTTTTTTTTTTGTTATTTTAGAAGTGTATTTTGGTGTGATATGCAACGGATTGCATTCTTCCGATCTAACCTTCCAGGCGTACATGTCTCAGTAAGTAGTATCCATCATGAGATAATTATTTTCTATCCATTGATTAAATTGCTTACAGAATCACGTTGTGCACAGAGAAGTACACATTGTGACTGATGACGTTCTTTTAATTTTATAGTCTGCCGTACAAAATATATAGTGATGTGTACAGTGTGTGTTCTAATGGTTACAAGAGTGTGGAGTTATATCTCCTTTGGTCCAGAACGGAATTGGTTATTGCCCATATCAACTGTTAAATTGTAAGAATCGGTCAAATTAATTATAATATCATGGACTTTGAGGAATTTTCAAAGATTAATATTTCGGAAGAATGCAGTTACGAACATTAGAAATTTCGGAATATGTGCCAGGTTTGTTAAGAGTGCCTAGATGGGATTACAGAAAAATATACACAAGTTTTTTTTCGTATGACAAAATTCGGAAATGAAAAATCATATGTAAATATGTATTGGTTTTATGTGCCAGTTAACTAGATCGAAATATTTGATCTGACCAAGCTGCTCTTGAATGCACAGTTAATCGATACTTCAACTGAAGAGAACTGTTGTGAACCCAGGCCTCATGCGCTGACAGGCATTACCTCGCTCATTGATCTGAGCCCTTCTTGAGAAGCAGCCAATTGTGCAGCCACTCAAGAACTTCCCAGCATTTTATGGAACCCAGAGGTTCAGTACCATGTTCACAAGTACACACCACTGGTCCCTATCCTGAGCCAGATCAAACCAGTCCATTACATCACATACTGTCTCTCTAAGATCCATTTTAATATTGTCCACCCACCTACATCTTGGTCTTCCCAGTGGTGCTTTTCCTTCTGACTTTCCCACCAATATCCTATATGCATTCTTCTCCTCCCCCATGCATGCTACATACACTACCCATCTCATCATCCTTGACTTGATCATTCTAATTGTACTTGGAGAAGAGTACAAGTTATGAAGCTCCTCATTATGCAGTTTTCTCCAACTTTCTGTCACTTCATCTATCTTCAGTCCAAACATTTTCCTCAACACCCTGTTCTCAAATACCCTCGGTCTATGTGCCTCCCTTAATGTCAGAGACCAAGCCTCACACCCATAAAGAACCACAGGCAATTTATAGCTCTGTATATTCTGATTTTTATGTTTTTAGACAGCAGACAAGAAGACAAAAAGTTCTGGACTGAATGGTAGCAAGCATTACCTGAGTTCAATGTCCTCTTAATTTCCTTCTATATCAGGTTTTGATTTGTTATAGTCATTTCCAAATAGCTGAACTGTGCCACATTTTCAAGACATCTGCTAACTATCTCTATGTATCTATAACTCCAGTAACTTAACAGATTACCATCAGACATAAACCAGGCCAGTCTTCAGAAACATGGAACACTGTGAAGTATGTTTAAAAGTTCTGCTCCAGGGGAAATTTGAAGGGTTGTACGTGTGCAGAATGTTTATTAATCTGATGATCATTAATGTTATCCTCCAGTTGTTATAATCTCAGGTAATTTGACCTGACCCTTCCCTACCTGCATGCACAGTGATGTGATTCATGAACCCAGCGTGACAAGTTTTAAGTCTTGACATACTGTAATAGTTTATTGTAGAAAAATAACAATTACACTGGTGTGGGCTTCAGTGGCATAGTATTCATACAATATAAATCAGTTTCACTTGAATCCATTGGTATTAATTGTAACAGTATAAGTTGTGGCCTGTTAGCAAGATATATAGGGTGTATAATTGTGTTTCACATGTCCCATATAGCATAGGGTTGTTGTGTGTAAGGATCCACTGGATTTCTTCAGACTTGATTGAATTTAGTGTTTCTTTTTATATAGATTAGTCTAGTGAGAGGAACAAGTATTCAGTGTCAAGTTTAAATGTGGAATTAACTAGAATAAGTTAGAGGATTACCCTCTACTAGAGTATTGTGGTGTATAGACCAGTTGCTAAGCAGTGACTCTGTAGACAGCGGCCATTGCTAGATAATGCCTGTAGCGTACACGCACGCAGCAGTAGAGGAATAGTGTTTTGTGTTGGTCCATGCCAAGATGTTCAGGACAGTTAGTCGCAGGAGGCAACAAAAACAGAACCCAATGCCTGAGGTATAACCAGGCCACCCTGTTCTTGGGGGATATATGATGGGAAGTCATGTTTTAATTATCTCCATGAGGAAATCATAGTTCCAAAATATGGTACTATATAGGAGATGGCCCATTTCCTGAGCTTGTGGAATAGTCAATTTTCCCGTGCCAAGTGGACAGAGGGAGCCATCAGAGGGGGCAGAAACAAAATGGCGACATCAGTTGAGAAAGTGGAGGCTCGCATTGTGATACAGTTCCTGCGTTTACAAGGGAAGTCTGCCAGGGAGTTCCATGACCAGATGACCGCTGTGTAGCAGGAAGGTGTACCATCATATGACACAGCGGTCAGGTGGAAGAGGCACTTTCATTGTGGACAGACAAACCTCGAAGATGAACCCCAAAGTGGAAGACCATTTCTCGCTGAGGAACTGGGAATTGTGGCACAGGTGGAAGCTTTGATCCTATCTGATAGGTGCATAATTATCGAAGTTATTGTTCATGAGGTCTGCATTAGCCATGGGTCACTTTTCAACTTTATCCATGACAAGTTACACATGACAAAGGTCACTGCGCGTTGGGTGCCACGAATGTCGACACCAGTTCAAAAACAGCAACGGATGGATGTGGCAAAAAAAAGTTTGCAGTTTTGTCAAGACAAAAAGGTGGAATTTTTTGACCGCCTGATCACAATGGATGAATGTTGGGTCTATCATTATGACCCTGAAACAAAGGAAATAAGCAAGACCCTGAGAATGACTGTGCTGGTGAGGGCCAGCAGCGACTATAAATGACAGACCCATTCTCTATCCTCTCATCAGAGAGGATATTACATAAGGACTATAACCACAAGCATTCTGTTGCAAAATAAAATTACTGGTCACGAGTCTCAGAGGGGCTTCTTGCCGAGATGAACCGATTGGCAGTAAAAAACCAGTCATAAAGTAACTCTGATTCTTGATTCTGAGTTCGGATTAGTCTGTGGAGAAAAGACTAGGAAGCTGGTGTGAGATGGCTGCCAGCCTGGTAGTTAGTCAGCTGAAGCAATGAGTTCAGTTGTGGGATATGCACCAGATGGTAATCATGTAAGCAGAGGGCAGTGTTACGATCCGTTACCAGGAAACGACTAGTGAAGACAGAACACTTTATGTGTGCTGCATTACAGTGATCATTAGTGTGTGTAAACCAGTGAGACTGTTAATAGTTACTTGTAGTTCTGAGTTGTGTGTTCAAGTGGTCAGTTAATCCAAATTATCAGTCCAATACCCATCTGTAGTCACTCAGTAAATGTGACAATATTTTCCAAAATTCTATTAATGTTCAGGAAGTCTTTTTTGTTTAAGATGTCAGACTTGTCTTTGAGCCTCCTATCATCTCACAGCTTAAACAAGAGTAGTTGTATGTATATTGATGAATAAGAAATATCACTGTCTATCCACCAAGTTAGAATGATTTCTGTTATAGTGAATGGCACTTAATTTTTGTAACAGAAACATATTTTACGGACCCTACTAGAAAAGATGAAATGGTAGTTTTCATGTATTCAGCACTGTGGTGCATGAATCACAGTTGGAAGGATGTGGCTTCACTCACATACATTACAAATTTTTATTATAGGCACGATAGTTCATAGAATCAATTCTACTTCGGTTGTTTACGTATTCATGTCAGTCTCTGTGTGTGAATATGACTCTTTCACATTCATGAGGCTTACCAAACTACTTCAGTTTTTTGGTATTAATGCAACTGATAAGGTTCATACTACTTGAATTTTTTCATTATAAATTTTAATATTAACCTCATTGTGAAAGTAAGTGTATTTTAGAGTCATAAGGTTGGTTGCACATGCAGCCTGAGTTGCTTGATTATTTTTGTATCATTATTAGTGATTATTAGTGTTGTGAACAGCTTGAGACTCGTAATGTTCATGGTACTTCGTTTTATTGTCATAAGGTATTCTGAAGCTTGGTTTGTGTTTTGCTGTCAGTGGAAAGTTTCTGTGTGGTAAGAATGATAATACAGTAGAACTTGGTTATAACGTCATCAAAGGGACCTAAAAATAGTGTCGTTATAAACGAATGTCGTCGTAACCGAAATGGGCACTTCCACAGTAGCCTTATGTTAGTCACGTAAAAATCTACCAAAAACCGAGTTAAAATGTTGCATTTTTTAGTGAAATACGTAGTTAAGTACAGACTAACGTAACATTAACGTGGAATTGC